TGTACGATTAGGAAGTGATCGATCACCGTATGAAACAGGCATTATTCCCTAGCGTTATCATGTGCACGCAGGAACCATAAGCTATGATATACAAAAAATATCGAAACTTTCAAAAACATTGAAATTGAAAAATAAATAAATAATATATATATATATATATAACTATATTTAAAACATTTTTTATCAAAACAAGCTTCAATTTCAATGTTTTTGAAAGTTTCAATATTTTGTATATATATATTTATTTATTTCAGGTGTAAAAAATAGTTTCCTTGTAATATGTACTAATATCTCATTATTATATACATTATAACATCAAATTCTTGATGAAAACTATTTACATTTTTTTCAACGTACATAACGCTATAGTCATAACTTAATATCCATATTTATCATTAAGATTTGTCCTTCCGTCCCCGGATTGGTTTTGCGGCGGTAACCACGTAGAATAATCTGCCGAGTGAACATCTTCATCGTACTGTTTCTTTATATTTTTCGATTTCTCGGATTTACTTTCCTTTTTTCGTTTTTTGCCGCCTGCAACGTCTTGTTTCCTCGTTTCCTGATTGACGCTTCTAATTGTACACGGTTTGTCATCGGTTTTCATCCTGTCGTTTGACTCCGTCTCATCCTCACATGGTGTAGATATTTTGCATTCGGACTTATGTACATACATAAGTCCAAATCCCTCTTTTCCTTTTGTTTTTACATCATCTTTATTTTCATCTTTTTGTTCATCATCATCACCTTCATCGTCATCATCTTCTTCCTCTTCCATAGTATTATTACTATATGAAGATGAGTTTCTCTCAGAGTCGTCTTTGTTCTGAAAAATACAATAAATTGTTTTTTAATTATAAATGAAACATATACACATTTTTACATGAAGAAAATAAAGGAATAGGAAAATGGATTGCTTACATTTGCCTCAAAAAGCTTTCGTCTTCTTTCAAGCTGAGAAACCTTTTTCATAGGTTTTGATTTTTGCTGCATATCGTCCATCTTGTCTTCTGCTTGCACTTGACTGACAAGGGGCGGCAAATTAGCCGGTTTTGTAAGATTTATTAATTTGACGAGATTCATTTCCTCCCTACGTAGGCTCTGCAACTCCACTTTCATTTTCGTTATGTCGCTTTTACTTAAAGAAGATGCGTTTAAACTAGACATGAAGGCATCCAACGAATCCTCATTGGACTCCGCCTTTGCATTATTCTCTTGTGCTTCTTTTAAGCGATTGCTCAAATGTGAAATTTTGTCCGTAACCTCGCTATGCTTCTCAGTCTGAAAAATTATGAAATGTCAATGAACAGTCGAAGATACATTTGCAATATAGACACAGAGAGATAAACGTAAAGATAGAGAGTAGAGACACAAGTGAACAAAATGACATTACCAATGAGCTATACGTCTCAATTTTTTCTTCAATTTTTCCAGCTAATTTCATCCTCTGTTCACGTTTCTTCTCTACTGTTCCCGTTCTATCCAAAAAGTTATCTTCGTCCGAATCGTAATAATCTTCCTCCTCCCAATTTCTTGCTTTCCTTTTTCGGCTCTCTGTAATTAATAATCATAAATAATTAGAAATAAAGTCTGCATTCAAAAGTCATTGTCATTTATTCATGTTACACGTTACCGTGATTAGCTTGTCTCAATAATCCGTGTCTGTCCAAGATTCTGCAGGCTTCCAAAGCGCATTGAACAACGGATTCTTTCTTCTTTCCTTTGACAAGGGCTTCCGCTTTCATGGCACGACCGCCGAAGCATTCTTTAGGTAAACTGAAATTTTTTTCATTTGTATATAGTACGCATTAAAAAAAAGCAATATTAAGAGATTAAAGTACAATATATGCAAATGTAATTTTAAAGCAACTCTACATAAAGAGATTATTTGATATAACTGTTTACCTTATCCAACATAAAAATTGGCCTATCCCTTTCTCTTCGACTTGATACTGCAAATCATATCCCTCTCTTTCGAACCAGCCTCTCAGGGTTTTCTTGGGGTCGTCTAAATACAACTCTTCATCTGCCACAGAAGCGTAAGGATTCTCTGTCAAATCCGTTTCCTCGTCGGCATCTTCTCCCATTCCCCAATCGATACCCTCGTTCTCTGCTTCCTGCTTCGCTCGCTCCTCCGCTTCTTCTTCCTCTTGCTGTCTCATTTCTCGCTCCCGCAATTCTTCCAATCGTTTTTCCTACAAGCAAACATGTGTGAAAGTCTTGCCTTGCAGAAGAAAAGCAAAAGTCGCAATTACAAAAGCAAAATATCATGCAATACGACTGCAACAAGCGCATAATTATAATTGTAGAACAGAACCAACCTTGAGTTGAGTGACCGACAGCTCGGATTCCTCTTCCTGATCGTCCAACGGAGCTTGCATAATGTACTTTCTCTGACTACAGCCGAATCTTATCATATGACCGCCGTGCAAGCGAACGTAGGTTCTCGGTTTTATACGATGCCCGTTCCAGAATGTGCCGTGCGTGCTCTCCAGATCGTACAAATAAAAACCAACGGGGCTCATCTCGTCCCCCGTTGCCCTGTACTGGATAACCGCGTGGTGCCTCGAGATGGTCGGATGGGCGAGGGATAAACTGCAGGAGGGCAATCTCCCCACCACGTAAAAGCTCTTCTCGGCGAGATCGATTTTATCTATAATCATCCCCGACTTCAGTACCTCCAATTTGTACTCGCCGGTTGGTTTCCCGCCCCACTTCGGCTCCAAATACGGCACGGGAGCGTTTCTCGCGTCGAACGAGAGATCCTTCTCTGCGAGACCTTCCGATATCGACTTGTGACACTTATCCTCGGCGTCAATCTGCAGATTGGCGATAGGCTCGACGGCTTCCTTGCTCACGGGTCCCTCGGACGACGGGATTGCCGGATCGTCGCTCGCAGTACGAATTTTTCCAATCTTACCCCGCTTAGGGCCGATCAGGAGGAGCGGCCTCTTGAATCCCGGTTCCTTGCAGGTGCCACTCCGGGAAGACTCGGAGACTGCGTCCTCCGTTTCCGCGCTCTGCTCGTCGCACGCTGATGACTCGGGGATCGCTTCACCGTTACTTGCGTCAACGTTACCGCTAGCAGCATCCTCGGGAAGGGAAGTTAAAGAATCATCCTCTCGTTCGTTCGCTTCCATGTTTTGCAGAGTTATCAAGTTTTATGCAGAGAAGCAGTCAAGTGTCATAAAAGTTCTTATCTATATTATTATAAATTATTGGTTTATCGCTATCAGGATTTTCGTGACTCTTCCGGTGTTTGGATATTATAATAACATTGGTTTTTTTTTTGCCTCGAATAAAACACGCGTTATCAGCCTGTCCGGAACGGGTTTTGGCGGTTATACAGCGTAGAGGTGGCTGGTGATGATGCAGGATGCCTCTTTAGACATTCTACTCGCAACTACGAGAAGAATACCAATGATCGAATAACCCACTTTCTTAATCAAATTAAAAACGACTTATACTTTCTTCCAGTCTTTTCTTCTTAAAAATCTTCGTTATGTTTTCAGTTTTGTCGAACTATATAAACAGAGCTCATGACTCTTATGAGCTTCACATAACCTATCAACCGCTGTTCAACCACCAGTACCACCACAAACGATTTTCCACTTTCCTCACTTCTACTGCCGCACCTGCACTGGACAAGAAGTGCAAGCAACACGAACACATTTGTTCCAGGGACTTTTATAATTTTCCATCAATTTGAATAGTTACGAATTCGAATTACGAATTCTCTCGTACATTGTACCGAGAAAATATTAAAATTTTATAATCTTACGGAAATTACATATACATATAAATTAATGTTTAGATATTTTTGTTTTCGGTCATCGAAAAGTTTACCGACAGCCGAGAATATTAATACTTTTCAATTATACCTTCGGAGTTTCCATCGTTCGGATCATACGAAAACGGAAAATGTACCCAACGTCGATTTTTAATTTCTTCTTTGACCGGCGCTAACTTACGAATTTTTGTTATTAAAAAAATATCGATTTTATTTAATTAAAACTTACTAAAAATTGTAATAAATCCAATAAAATCTTCATAAAGTCGGAAATGTGTATTCTAAATAATTTTAATTAAAAACTGAAGTTAAAGTTTCGTACAATATACGCAAATACTTCTTGAATTATAAATAAATAACGAATAAGTATTGCTGCATTCATAATAGTTTAATATTCGTTGACCCTTTATCGCAAACTGGAATCATCGTAGAAACAGTCGCGAGCGTCAGTTTAATAATAGGACTTGTATATCTCAGTTTATTTAATTAAAATATACAGATTATATAAACGTGATCACACATTTGTTCGAGTTCCTTCGATATCTATTCCCTCTCTCTCCTACCCCACCCCTCCCCTCCCACCCGCCGGACAAATTCTCTTAACCTGAGATAAATCGCTATATATTTCTTCTCACTAACAGTTTCCCTCCTCGTCTCTCCTCTCGCGCTTTACGCCATAAACTCTTTTTATTCTTCACCTCTTAAAAAATACTCGGTCTCATCGTAACTCTACGTTGTAACAAATGATAAATCTACGGGCGCACAGGGATAGATTCGATCTTTTACATTCGCCTCCCCCGTAATTTGTTTCATTATAACAGACGAACGTTTAAAACCAGGGCGCCTCTTGCTCCTCTTTTTCTCTGCCGTAATCACTTAGATTTTATCTATACAATTTCTCTGTGTGCTCATATATATATATAATTATATATGTCTATTAACACTGTATTTACATGCAGCGTAAGGACCTTAATTGGGCATGCACCAAAAAGGATAAATATCTTAAAATAAATCTTCGCCGTAACACACTCGTCTCTTCCCTCGGTAACTCGCGTAATTCTCAGTCCTGCCCCTCGCAAAACATCACACCTTACTTTGAAACTTTCCTCAGAGAGATGTAATCCCTTATCTAGACACACCACACACACGCATACACACACGCGCACACGCACACACACGTTCGCGAGTGGTAACTATTGTAGGCACACGTCATCCCTTTCCCTCCTTTCTCTCTCGTCCTTTTTTTTTATACAGCCATCTCGCAGTGATAATTTCTCTCTAAGCAGCTCCCAAACGATCATATACTTCAAGCATATATTATCTGCGCGATGTTATTTACACGGAAAATCGCGGAATCTCCCTTTAAGAGCTAGTTAATAAATAGTCGACATAATATCGATAAATGTATATGGTTAATATTTTACGCTTTATTATATTTCATTATTTTCTCATTGTTTTCTTTTTCTTTTTCCGTAGAAACGTATATAAATTCTAAAGTCACTACATTCCGAAAGGTATATGTACTCTCTGTTACTGATCCTTGTGTCAAATTGCTCTAAAATACTCCTCTCGATAGATGCAAAAGTAATTCAAACAAGTCAGGAAGATGATATATACATTCGTAACAAGCGAGTCAAACAGCGGATTTTTATATACTGTTGAAATAAACGCATTCTGCGTAATTTCCGTAACAAAATCAAATGGATATTCATCCTGAATTGTCCTCAATTTTTTTGCACGAGATAAAATGACTCTATGTGAAAGACTGAAGATTGTATATAAGCTGTACTTTATATTCTGATATTAATATGCAATATATATCTATATGTGTATATAATATATATTAATGTCAGATATATATATATATATCTATACATATCAGATATAAATCTTTCCCACTTCTGTTGACTTAATTATTATTATAGATCACTAGTATGATAGTGCACGTTTGCATTTGGAACACAATTGTTGTACAATTGTTCGTACCGACAGAAACTCGAATTCCCTCGATTGCTTTCTTTTTTTTTTTATAAGCTGTGCTTTTAAATATATTCCGTCTAAATATAATCTAAACTTTTTATAACGCACAGTAAACAGTCGTTTGGTGCTTCGTACCGAGTGGTCGTTTTTATTCGAGACCATGGAGTGACGCCTCTGGAAATCTTTTTTCCAGAGATAAGGATTTAAATCCTTTCTTCCTCATTATTTATCTACGCAACAGTTTAATATCTATCGAATCAATATAATCGAATCGCAATGTAATGAACTCGCAAAGGTAGAGGCTGCCAATTATTCTCAACCATATATTAATTCTCGCTTGTAATTCTTATTTGCAACTGTTCAACAACCACTCCGCACTCGGCCAAGGCAGATCAGTGTGATTGCGTATCCTACATATACCTAGAAAATAGTTTAATGCTTAATCGTTAAGTATTCTCCTAAATACGGTGCCTTTTTTACTCTTGCGAATTCTTTCCCGAGCCCATCGCCGAAGACCTATCATAGCGATCGTCAAGCGGAATTAGAAAGAGAGGGAGAGGGGTGGGGGGGTGGGGAGGGAGAATTATTTCTTAGGAATACACGTGTGCACAGCCGCGCATTCATTTTCCGTGTTTAGCCCTACTGCTGCGTGTGTTTGGCCGCCTCGTACGGTCGAAGGTAGAGATCGCAAACAATAGTTATCACTGAGAATGTGCAAATGTGAGAGATATGCATACGGGACACCAGGTTCTTTCACAATGCAACCGTACCTTTCTTATTGTCAGGCTACTCTTTACGCGTACACTCATAATATACTTTCATATTTTTTTTGTCCTACATGAGACTCGCTAATCTACGCGAATATTGGAAAGTATACAAAAGATCGGGAATATTTTGTTTTCTTCGCACATTTTAATATAAATTTCTCGTGAATAATGACTTACAATTTCGTCCCTTCAACTGTGCTTCCTCGTGGGCCAATTGACTCGACTTAAACGTAAGAACACTTTGTTAAATTTGCATTTAATATATCCGCCTATATATACATATAGGAGAGAACGATATAATCTTCTTTCAGAAATTCCGAAAGCACAGTCTTGTAAGCTACATATATAGAAAATTTCGAATAATAATCTTTTCAAAGAGAGTGACTAGTTCAATTTCTTTTAGTCCATTCCAAACGATATCGCAGTATCCTTCGTAAAGGAATTAATGAACCATGTTTAATGAATAGAATGGGAGAGCGCAGCAATTTATTTCCATGCAGCAAGCAATTATAAAACGAAAGACATATGCACTTCATGTACGGAATTATACGGAACATAAAAAGTAAGTGTAAATAATTTCAATAACAAAATACACAATACGCATTCAATAAAATAAACCAATAGTAATCATCGCAAGCAGATATATGGTGTTTACGTAGGTATAGATCGTGATACGAAATTTTCAACACATACCTAAAATAAAATTCTACGATACTTAATTAATTTATACATATATCTGATTTTATTCTCTAATAATGAAATAAAAAAATAACTTATCGTGCTCAGGCCCCATTCATAGTAAAGACATCTCAATTAAAAGAGAATAATAGACGTAATAGGTTTTCAAAGATTAAAAGTAGGGGGAAAGTTTTTTTTTTAGAAAACATAAAATGCCTGTAACAATCGCTTTTATATGCCGTAACTAGATAAGATTCGCGGAATAAAGTAAAATAAATTTGAAATTTTTTAAATGATTCAAAGAATAGTAAAATAAGGGTAAAAGTTGGCATACCCTAAAATTCGCGAATTCGTAAAACTACTAGCCGTTCAATCTTTCCTTCCTTACTATCCTTCCTTACTTTCCAAGACGTTTGATTCGAGATCGCGTGCTCAGGGAACGAGCACTAGGATTATACGGTGATTTGACTTTCTTAGCTATGCCAGAAGTGGAACCAGCTGCCGAGGGATTTATGGTCGCGCAAGTACTCACGCTTCCACCGTTACCGTTCGCTTGTTTAAGTTTACTGGCTGACAACGAGGAAGACCTGACTCTACTCGATTGAAGCGCTCCACCGCTCGCTGACTGCTTCAACTTGTTCGGTAGAGGCAATCGATTTTGCTTCACTACTCCGTACTGGTGAACTAATTGCGCGGATATTGTGTGTCCGGCGATGTCTACGTTACGCGAACGTAAAGTTTTCACAGGCGTTGCCGCCATTGTGTCTGATCTAAACAAATCAGGAAACAGCAGAGTTTAGTAAAGTATGTCGGAATCGACATACATTCGAATAAAGTCGAATATTTATTTTGCGAAACAATATATAAATATTTTCATTGGAGATTATTAAATGTAGCACATCTCGTGGAAAATAGATCGTTAAAATAATAGATAACACGTTCCGCTGTGTTCAGATGTCGACAAGATGTTATCTATTATTTTAACAATCCATTTCCACGAGATGTGCTACATTCGATAATTTTCAATGACAATATTTATATATTGTTTTATAAAATAAATATTCGATTCTATTCAAAATGTATCGCGTGAAAATTATTTCTTGAATAAAGAAAACGTAATTAAACCAACCTTAACCATCGCTGCGGTATCGTCGAATCCGTAGGACCGACTATCGTTACTGTCCTATTTAATGTCCTTCTACTGTTACAGCTGCTCGCTCGGTTATTCCTTCCTTGGTCCCAATCCCTTAGGCCGAAACTACCTCTTAGATGTTGCAGTCGTGTCGAACCGTTTATGGACGATCTCCTAATGGCTTTAACAGGCGTAGCCTTTTTGCCTAAACTCCTACGCTGGAACGTGTTCGACGATGAGGAGAGCGTCGTTAGAGTGGCGCCGTTCAATGACGAGTCCGATCGTCTGTCCGACGCGGGCCAACTCAATCGGGCGTTGGCGTTCTCCATCGCCTGATTGGCCGGGTCGTTCTCGTCCGTGGGACTGTGCCGTTGGTCCTCGGAACGCGTCCTCCTCTTCGCGCACGGCTCTTGCTGCGCGCAGCCGCCGTTCTCAACTCCGATCGACGAGACCGATGCCTGCGTGATCGCGCTGTGCCTGCGCTTGTTGTTGCTCATGGGGCAGTCCCCGGCCGTCTTCGACGGGCCCTTCGTCGTCTCCTCCACCATCGCCGCGCCTCCCGCGACAGACGGCTTCGTCATTCTGCTGTACCGCGACTTCACGCTCACATAGGTCTTCGAGTCCGGAGGAGCTGTCGGCGTGACGTCGGCGAAAGCGTTCTGCGCCTGGGACGAGCTCAAACTGTGCCGACGCTTTATCGTTCCGACGTCCGGCCCCCTCGCGGGAAATAAAGGGTGCTGCTTGTGTCTAGATCCGTTCAAAACGCCATTCTTCACCGCCTCGTCACCGTCGAAACTGTTGGTCTTGACGGAAACGATGCCGCTTCGACGTAGCCTGCTGCTCACGAGGGGAGCAGGTTGAAGCGCCTCCTCGTTCGCCCCGGAAAAAGCATTCTGTCGCGTCAAGTTAAACACTCCCGTCTCGGTTACGATTTCTTTAGGCTCGACGACGAACTTATTCGATTTCGGGTTTGATTGGATCGGAGTCTGCGCCTGGTCACTCTTCGCTTTCTCTTCGTTTTCATTCTGTTCCGCCACTTCCTTGTTTTCCTTCTCGAGATGTTCCAATTTCTCGTGATTGGTTTCAGCTGCTTTCTTACTTTCCGGATCTCCGGGCTCCTCTGGCATCTGACTGGAGGAGATCTCGGCGACCTGGATACTCTCGCCGGTATCGGCGGCCTCGACGCTCTTGTCTATCGCGGACTCTTGTAATTCCGACGTGGTATCAATCTCCGACAAAATTGAGTTTTCGGGACACGAGACCATCTCCGGCTGTGACGTGTGATCGACAGCCTCCTCATTTCCGTTCGACGAGTCCGGCTGTTTGAGATCAAGTTCTATCGACATTGCGCTCGGCGGCGGTATTGGCATGCACGAAGATGGAACTTTCGGACTGATTTCCTCGACGTTTTCAGGCTCTTTTGTCGTTACTGGCGTGTGTGTTCCGTGATGTATAACACGATCCTTCTTTTGATTAAACAGTACCTTTAACAGAGACAAATATCCTGGCTAAAATAATAGTTTTACAATTATTATAGTATATTGGATTTTCCGCAAATTCTTCATTTGTTACTCAGAGTTTAAAGATTTGAATTTTTAATTCATTACTCAAAGTTTAAAGGTTAGATTTTTTTGTCATTCCTATTAATATTTATATACGAATTTGAGTAACAGATTTTTAATTCGTTACTAAAAGTTTAAAGGTTAGAATTTTTTACGTCATCCCTATCAATATTTACATATGAATTTGAGTAAACGAATTTTTAATTTGTTGCTCAAAGTTTAAAGGTTAAAATTTTTTTCGTCATCCCCATTAATATTTATATATGAATTTGAGTAACCAATTTTTAATTCGTTACTCAAAGTTTAAAGGTTAGAATTTTTTACGCCATCCCTATCGATATTTATATACAAATTTGAGTAACAAATTTTAAATTCATTACTCAAAGTTTAAAAGTTTAAATTTTTTACATCATCTATCAATATTTGTATACAAATACAAGTTACGAATTTTTAATTCGTTACTCAAAGTTTAAAAGTTTGAATTTTTTACGTCATCCCTATCAATATTTGTATACAAATTATTTATGCACATTACATTAGACTAAATTTCTTGAAAAAAAGTATCATTTGTACCTCACTGCGGCATGGTCCTGAGGGATCCAACATCAGGGTTACAACACTGGTATTATCCGCCCGTAATCTCGTCGACGACCACCTCTCCAATGCACGATCCACAAGACTTTTCGAAGGATTTATCCACATTTGTAAGTCAGTCTGCTGCAAAAAAAAGATTCGTATACCTCATTATTATCATATATACAGGTTGAAGTTGACACAACTTGCATACATTATCACTTTATTAGATGTATGTATAATTAACAATACGAAATAACCCACGAAACTTACTCCACCGGTCTGTTGAGAGGCTATCAAGTGCTTCTCATTGTGCCTGTCCGTGGTTTGAACAATGCCTACTGCAGATTGCGGCGATAACATATTCCATAGGCCGTCGGTTCCAAAAATGAGACAACGGTGTGACTTAACGTCGACTGGAATGACCTTCACATCCGGCTCGGGAGAGACAACAAAAGTGTTCAATTCGGAATTGTAACTCCATAAATCACCTGAAACAAATTTCACATTATACACATGTAGACTCTTTCGCACACACGCACACACACACACGCGCGCGCGTGCAAGAATCGCTGGACGCAAAGAGACATTCGTAAATATACACACCTAGAGATCTGGCTACTGCGAGGAACGGAATCTCATCCATGTGAGTGGATCTTCGAACCGGGCCTTTGTGCCCGATACGAGGTCTATTCCACACCACCCTCGGGACGCCGGATTTACTGACCACTTTCCCACCCGACTCCTGTATGCGCGTCATCTCCGGTCCGCTCTCCGGCTTGTGGTCCTTCGTCAGTGCCTTCGCCTTCCACTGGGGATCGCCCTCTGCCTGGTAGCCCAATATAATAGCCGAATCTCCCACGTGACCGATGTATATCTTGCCCTTTCGTATAAAGGCTATGCTGGCGGTCGTGCCGGCCGTGGACGGCAGTCCGGATGCAGTTCTCGGCCATTTGTCTGTGCCCAGAAAACAACATCAGGTCAAAATATTGTACGCGCTCGCGACGCGGTACGAAAAGCCGAGCTCGCTTCCGATCAAGGTCGACGCGCCCGTTGTGCTTTACGCGCGCGCGCGCGCGACGGTATCGCCGCGGAAGTCGCACCGCGGTCCGGATTCTCGCGGCGATACCGGGAGAGGCGCGAGAAGGTGAGAGAAGTCGCCGCATCGCGTTAATCACGTTAACGTCGCTCCTCGAGCTCGAAATTTTCAGGTTAGCTCGAGGAATTACATAACCTAAACTCTAACCTAATCAGGCCTAGTCGCGCGACGGTGGTGGGGGAAATACGCGGGACGATGACAGAAATTCTCGACGGAGACGAGACCGTCGGTCGTCGCCGCGGGGGATCTACGATATTCCCCCCCGTACGCGGTCCTATATCGACAACGGCAAATTTAAAATTCGCGCGAAAGGGATCGCGCGCGCGTGTGTGCGAGCGTGAGCGAACAAGCGCGATCGAGCCGAGTCGAGTGAGGGAGCGAGCCAACGATATACACACAACACAATAACGCATGAATCGTATATATCCGTTACCGAGCTCCCGCCACATCGCGTAGTGCGTGTTCATGTATCCGTCCCTGATCGCCCGCAGCACATCCTCGTCGCGGTCGCTCCAGAAGTTCTTCTGCTTCACGATAATGTCCATGAGGTGTTCCTTGGCGAAGGTCGCGGCCTCCCCGCCACCGTGGCCGTCGAAGATCCCGAAGAACGCGTATTCCAGATCCTTGTCGTCCGGTGTCGGCTGGAACGCCACGCAAAACATGTCCTCCATGTACTTGCGGCCGCCCTGATTGCAGTGGCCGGTCACCCGCAGGTTAACGCCGATGCTGAGCGGCATGTTGACGGTCCGGGGACGCCTCGTTCAGTGACGGCGGCGACGGCGACGTCGCCGCGGTGCGAACAACTGTCTGTCTACGGTGCGCTTATTACGCACTCTCTTACCGCTACGCACACTCGTCGAACGGAAGCCTCGCATTTACTGGGCAGGTCCGCGCGCGCCGCACAATTCGCTTCGCGCGCACAAGAGAGAGAAAGAACGAGGGACGGGAGGGTGGGAGAGAGGGACGGCGCGGTGGAAGGGGAACGGTGACGTTGCGGTCGTCGGCGACGAGAGGCGGCGCGGCGGGATAGCGGCAAATGGCAGAGAGACGCGAGAGGGGAGACCCGTTTCCCTCCTCTTCCCGCTGCCCTCGACCTCACACATACACATGCACGTGCGCACGCTTCTCCATCTCTCTCTCTCTATCTCTCTCCTTCTCTCGCCGCCGTCCGTACGATTTCACCGATACGAGCACGGCCGACGTTCACCGACGGTTCTCGAGAAACGGCCAGAGCGGAAGATTTTGGAATGCACACACGCGTATGCCCGGCTGCGCCGTGCGTGTGTTTTCCGAATATACCCACCCGCGATCGATCGACGTGGGCCCCGCGCGATCGCGCGGCGACGCGCAACGCTCTGAACTTCGACCGCGCGATTTTCCCCGTCGACGATTTTCCACGTGACGACCCGACGCGGGGGCGGAAGAGGCGCGGGCGTTCGCGGACGGCGAAGGATTGAAAACGCGCGCACACGTATACGTTCGTTGTCGTTGGCTGCTTCACGCCCGTGAAGCCTTGAAAGTCGACCGCCGTCGATCGACGGACGGGACGTCGGAGTTTGAGCGTCCGCGCGACGCGGACCTCTTTTACGCACTTCAAGTCCCCGTAGTCTCACTCCGTTGATATACATATGTATTTTCGACCCGCGCTTTTCCATTATGTCCAATTACTTCGCCGCCACGTGCTATCTCCCCCGCTGGCGGGCTCCCTAATTGGTCGCGGGTAAGGCTGCAAGTTAGAAATGCGCTTTACCTCGGAGATAGACAAGGAGAGATAAGAGAGCGCGTTTCTGTACTTCGCGAAGTTCGCGGCCGTTAGATTTCGTTTACAACGGCGCGTGTAGAGGGATCGCGTTACGAACGAAATTTAACTTAGAGCGCTTAGAAATTATATGCACTGACTGATATTAAGCGTGCACGCGACGAACAAAATTCGAACGACGATTTCGGGAGAGAAGAACAGAGCGATACTTTGTCGTGTATTCCAATGGCTTTTTTTTTATCCTCGTAAAATAGACGAACCTCGTAAAACGACAAAGTTTAGAAAAGAAAGACCGATGAACGAGAATTAAGGGTGGCAGTTTGTGGCTTGCGATTTTATCACAGAAATTTGCTTGTCTACAAATCGATTTTTAATATTAGGAACAGAAAAAAAATTAAACGTATATATGCGAGAGACGCACATCCAGAACTGATTTACCCGCGATAATTATTTATCTACCGATTAAGCACGGCTTCCGATCTTTATTTCGAATCACCGTCGAGGCGCGTCGCCCCTCGAGAGAACACTCTCACCTATCGATAAGTTCGCTTGTCAGCAATTCATTTCTGTTTTTTTTTTGCAATTTAAAATGTCGAGTCTCGCATGGCAGGAATTAAAGAATCGGGTTTTGGACAAAATTCCGCGTAGGCTCGCGTCTTCCAGTCGAGCCGATATCAAAAATCAAAGACCCGTCCCTTCCAATTACCTTTTTTATCTCTCTCTTTTCCTCCCCTGAATGTGTTTAGCGCGCAATCGGTTTTTTCTCAAACCGACGACGGGCATGAAGTGCGCGCGCGGCTAATCGGGGCATCGGGCCGACTCGACCGCGGCGAGTCGATCGAGGCGCGAAGTTCCGTTTAAGGTTAAGGATTAAAACGCGGGAGCGCGTTGATCAGCACGTGGCGCTCGAACTGGGAGGAAGAATTAAAGGAGACGGACGGACGTTTTATCGAAATTTCCAAGAGGCATCGCTCGCAGCTTGTACATACTCAAGTTAACGCACACGGGTTACCTTGGTCGTACGTAACACACGCGCGCGGCTGCGACCAGCCGGCGGGCGACCGCGTACCCCTCTCCCCTCCCCCAACCCGTCACTCAGCCCCTGGCCGCGCGGACGCGCACCGCTCCTCCGGCCGCATCCCCACCGCTGCGGAAACTTCCGCGCCCCTCCTTTCCCGCTCAGAGCGCGCGTTCGCGTTCCCACCGTCTCGCTCCTCTCCCCGCGGCGGCCTCCCGGGAAGGAGTCCCACCGCACCCCACCTCCCCCCTCGTCAACGCGCTTGCCGTGGCCCGTCAAACTCTCCGCTGCTATATTCATGCCGCGCATCTCCGCTCACGCAGTCGCGCCGCGCCACGTTGCCGCATTTCCTTTCTCTCCGTCCGATCTCTCTCTCTCTCTTCGTCTCCCTCTCTCCGCGCCGTGTTCTCTCTCTCGCCGTTACGCTGCGAGCTAGCAACCTGATTTCTTGTCCAGCTCGGCCGGACCCGACATTGTCGACGAGCGCGAGAGGATGACGCGCTTAGAAAAATTGTCCAGAGCGCTCCCCGCGATTTTGAAGTTCGTTCGGGAAAATTGATCGCGTATCGCGATTCCCGTCCTCGCCGTCGCGCGCGGAGCCCCCCTCCCCCCCGCCCCTGAGATCTTTTCAGAAATGTTCTCGGCGTGCCTCGAAAACAGTCTCGAAAATTCGCGAGTCTCCTCATCGGGTTTTCTCTCGTTATGCCGCTCTCGCGACATTCGTACTTCACGCGGCGGCGACTCATGCCACAGCTGGTTCTCAACGCGGTCCCTCGCGATGGAGGGAGATGTGAATTGGTCTCGTCGCCGGCGAAACGGCGACATCGCCGGCGTGAAAAGTTAAGAATCTAAAAACGGCGAGCCGCGGCGTAGTCGCGACGAAAAGTGCTGAACGCGCCGTCGTTTTGTTCGGGGCGCGCGCGCACCGCGCGCGGTTATCTCTCTTGGCGCCGAGCGAGGCAAAACAGCACACGGAGGGGCACGTGTTTGAACTTGTTCGATCGCGACGGCGGCGGCGGCGACCGGGAGAGTGAGAGGGGGGACGTGGCAACGTCGCATCGCGCCGTTCAAAATAGCTCTCACCAGCTGGCGACTTTCGCCAACGACCCGACGGACTAAAGTCCGCGCGGAAAAACGCGCGCACTACTCTCTCTCTCTCTTTCTCTCTCTCGAGGGTGGACGACGTGCGTGCCCGCGCCGATCCGCCGAGCCTCTCCCGAGGTTCCTTGATCTTCGGCAGGTCGCGCGAACGATCGGCACCCGGAAAACCGGGTGCCCGTCCGCACCGTTTCGCAAAAATCGAACGGCGGGTGACGTCGAAATGTGTCATCGATTGCATCATTCTCCTCGGGTATAGAGATGGCCGCCGCTGCATCGCACTACGTGGCTCAAGTCGCGAGTCAGGCGATGGCGATTGGCGTTCGGTCGCGGTTGAGAGGAGAGGCTGAAAAGGGGACAGGGATAATCTCGATCAAAAGGGGAAGCGCTGGAGATTCTTTTCAAGGGGAATTCTGAATTGCTCCCAATCGTAAATCAGCAAAGCACAGGACTGCCCGTCCGCGGCCTTCCTGCCCGCGAGCGTATCGAACGGCACTGCCAGCGCCATCTCTGCTTTATTGGCTAAAATAGAAAGAAAAGGCCGCTGACGCGTTATTTATTTTCCACAAGCGTGTGCATACTGCATGTTATATCATAAACCCGGAATGATATCAGTACGCGTGTGACATCGCTCGCGCCTTTTTTAATCACCCATATGTTCGACGTTATTAAAGTTGACGCTCGCGTAACCGGATAAGCAAACGTGATCGCGCACGTTCCGTTTTCATATTTAGGCTGGTCCGTTTGCAAATTACAAACGGACAATTTCCGGTTATTTTAACTCGACTCTCATTGGTCAGGCGATTCGAAGGGATTCGCGTAAAGGGCGCGCGAAACTGGACGTCTCGCTCGAAAGACAGATTCAAAGCGTTACATAAGGCTTTCGCGTTGCTGGAAATTCCCAAAAAATTTTGCGGTTAAAACGAGATGAATGTATATATTGGGACGAGGCAGAGAAAATAAAGATTTAAATGCAAAAAGTACAAGCGACGCGACAGAGATTTATAATTTCGCTAAATTCAAATTCCATAGTTACGAAACAATTGCGAAAGTGCCCTCGTCTATTCGTGAAGAATGGAAAACGGAACAGTCGATCACAGCTCAGCGAGCTCGTGCTTTTCCGTATTCACGTTATCAATATAATTCGCCGAGACTCGCCGAGACCGCGGTATGTACATCCGCGCAGTTTCGATTTCCCGATCTTTTTTCTCTCGGCTAGAACAATGGATACGATAAAAAAAAACGCTTGTGCAATCTTACGTGCGCGAATGTGAATCGCGAATAAAAATTTTCATTCGCGCGAATACGTACGTGTGTGTCGCCCGCTCGTGTATCAACGCGTATCCCGTGAACGTTGCGCGCATCGTAAAAAGAACGTATATGTATATATATATATATATCTGACGTGTGTGCGTTACGTTCGCGCGGCACGGCCTTCGCGCAGCGTTTCGTTAGCATCTTTTTATTGATTGTCCACGTCGTCGTCGGTCGGCCAGGCGATACGCGGACGCACGTGGCATCCGGTGCCGGGCATTCCCCATCAGGCCGCTTCAGACTAGACCGTGCAGGTTCGTGCAGGTTGTTCAGGCCCCGTTGAAGCAGCCTCTCGTCGACAATCACCGGTCCGCATGAGTCACAGAACTGGTGACTTATATTGGTAGGATTGCTCATTCTTTTGAAATTTCTCGACTGGCGACGGTCGCTTTCAGCTGGCGATTGTCCCTACTATATGCAATAAAATGACCATGCCCTTCCACCGTACGTGAGGTTAACAATGACCTAGAGTTGGCTTTTAAATAAATTAGAAACGTGAGCCGTCTAAAAACTCTAAGAGAAAAATAAGTTTGAGAGATACCTATATACGTACGTCTTTAGATTTTCTATCATCGAGGTTATTGCGTATATCATTCTCTTATCAGTCTGACGTCATTTTATGCTCCGCGATTATCTTACTTTTCGTTATATTTCATTTTACACTCACGTTGTAGATAATATCAATTTTATTCCTGTTTCTTTAATTTTCTAGAATATATTATTTTTGTTAAAAACATTTTTAGAAACACTTATTCAAGAGATTTCTTTCGTGATAGAATAGCTGCAATATTTTACATTTAGATCCAATTGCACTTTAATGTTATTTTAACGTTATTTTGACTTTAAGCAAGATTAAAACTCTGCCTCTCTTTAAAACTTTAAGAGAGAAAAGAGAGTTTCAAGCCTTGCTTAAAATTTAAAATAATGTTGATGTAATCGAGCTCTAAATGTATTCTTAAGAAAAAAGAAAAAATCTGTTAAAATAGCTATAAAAATAACATATGCTAAGTTAATTCAATTACATTATTAGGCTAAGGATAAAAATCAACTTATAATTAAATTATTGTATAATTTAAATAAAAATTTATTGTAATGGTAATATATTAATTGTGACATCAAGAAATAAAAACGCCTTTATACACATATATTGATTAAAACTGTTTAGCTAGGCCTTGATATTTTTATTAAAGGAAAGAAATATCGAGTAGTCCGGCTAGCTCAGTCGGTAGAGTATAAATCTCTTAATCTCAGGGTCGGGGGTGCGAACAAGAAAGCAGAGTGGCGCAGTGGAAGCGTGCTGGGCCCATAACCCAGAGGTCCGTGGATCGAAACCACGTTCTGCTATGTCGAGACTTAAGAATCTTGTCTTTTTCAAATTCTAGGCAAAACTTTTTTATTTATATATGTATATTTTATGTAAATTTCTTTATTTTTATTTAATGTAAATATTTTAAATTCTTATATATATTTTTTACATGTACCATCCTTACATAAATTTTTTTTATATATTTATAAGAACTTTATTTGGTATTTCTGTCTTATTTAACAATTTTTTTATATTAAAATCTTTTAATAATTAATTTTGACATAGAAAAATCTTCAAAAAAAAAATCGCCCAACGTGGGGCTCGAACCCACGACCCTGAGATTAAGAGTCTCATGCTCTACCGACTGAGCTAGCCGGGCTACTCGATATCTCCTTTCTTTAATACAAATATCAAGGCTTAGCTAAACAGTCTTAATCAATATATATCCCTTTAAAACTGTTCTTATCTTAAAAAATCATATGGCATAAATAAAATATTAATTAAAGAAATCGCAGTATTAATTGTGATAAAGAAAAAGTGATAGAAGTGAACAAATAATTGTTGCACAAAATAAATCTTTATTAAAATTCATTGCATCTTAGTAGCAGTTACAAATCCTGATAGTAAATGTATTATATACAATTGTTTATTTTGTATTAAAATGAACACAAGTAAAAAGTACTTCAGCGTCGCACTTATAAGGATTTTTATGGCACGTAAATCTGACTGTTGTTGAGATAATAAATTTACAACGCAATGACCGATATATGTAACTTTTTTTGTTCACAATTGTGTCTGGGATGATCATTTATTGATGGTCCTTGCCGGCAGTACGAGTGACCAATATAACTATGATTAACTTAATTATAATTGTTGTTAGAATTAGAAACTTTACTTCAAGGAATTCTACCAGTTGATTCAATCAATGATTAATTTATCAAGTAATATTTATTTTTTGTTAATATGGGTAGTATTATATTATATGTATATTAACTTTTTTATTTATAACACATGGAACAGAAGAAATTAAATTAATTAAATTAATGTCAAATTAAAAATTACATACAGTTAAAAATTGTATTTCGAGCAATTGTGCCAATTAAATTAATCAAAGTTTGAGGTCTCTTTAGCGATTTTTTTCATCGATACTTCAGATCGCATTTTTATCGCGATGTACTTGATATATATACATATAACGACGACGTCCGTAATTGTGCCGCGTGCGACGAACAGGTACTAACAATCTAACGAAATACTTAGAAATCGAGAAGCGTTATCCTACGTACAATATTATCTAGTACGCGATATTTACGAGGACTTCGGAGGGTCTAACGTTTAAATATATATATATTGCATTCGCAAAAATAAATATACGTATTTATATATTAGTTTATAAGCGCTTTTACGGTATGAACACATTGAATGACAACATTAACAATACCAAATCTATCCTCACCTACTACGAAGGTAGCTTTGCTTTTCAGAACTCTTTGATTATGAAAATCACTCTCCCTGTATATTTTATCAAAGTGTTGTTATTGTTGTTAAATATCTGTGTAATTCTCCTAATAATGGACGAACTTCCAAAACTATCTCGCTCGTCGATAAGATAAGATCTTTGTACCTTAACTCTCTGGCCTTAGAATTTTTGTCCGAATGACTTAATAAATTCGTATCGCAAAGAACAATACAAATGCCAGCGTCAAGCTCTTTCCGAGCTCGACGTTGCTCGCCGTCGAGCAGCCCGGCGGACATTCCAGCTCGACGGTCCGATTCTCGTAGAGAAGATTCCTCATGATCTTCTTGCCCTCGCACGAGTTTTCCACCTTGACGAACTTGATCTTCCGCGTCTCGAGGAACTGCTCCAGGTCCATGCGGCAGCGCCACTTGAGCGGGTTGCCGGCGAACTCGACGATGTGCAGATTCGGCATGTCCTGGAAATCGCTCGTGAAGATGCACTGCAGATCGTTGCCCTCGAGATTCAGGTAGACCAGCCTGCGCAGATGGTGGAAGGCGCCCGGTGCGATGTAGCGGATCGAGTTACCGCGCAGATCCAGCCGCTCGAGACGCTCTATGTTGAACCACTCGGCCTCGATCGACGTCAGCGGATTGCCCTGAATGGCGAGCCGTTCCAGAGAGTCCAGACCCCTGAAAGCGCCGGGCGTGATCGTACGAAGACCGCAGTTCCTGATGATCAGCTCCTGCAACCGTCGGAAATTGTAGAGAGAGCCGGCCGGCAGCACGGGCAGGTGACCCTCGTAGAACTCGATGGAGATAGCGTCGCGTGGTACGTTTTTCAGCAACAGTAGATTACCGCCGATGCAACGGTACCGCGGCTCCGCGGACTCGGCGATCCTGGCGCAGTGTCCCTCGAGGGTCTCGTTGTAGAAGCCTGTCGAGGGTGGCTCGGTCGTGGTGGTCCACGGGGTGTGGGTCCACGGGGTCACCGCCGTCGTGGGACGAGGTGTCACCGGCGGCAGTTTGGTGACATAACAGTCGTCGTTCATGTTGTCGAGAAGGGCCTCGCGATTGTACGGTATTCTGCGGGAGTCCAGGAAACTGGCCAGCTTGGTGCCGCACAGGCAGCTCCACGGGTTATCCGACACCTTGAGAGAGTACAGATGCGGCATCTTTTGCGCCATGTGTTCCACGCCGAGACAGTTCATGTAGTTCTCGGACACGTCGAGGCTGTGCAGGTGCGACAGCGTGTCGAACACCTCGTTGGGAATCCGGTAGATGTGATTGCGCGAGAGGTCCAGGTGCCGCAGATTCGTCAGGCCCTCCAGCGCCTCGGACGTTACCGTTTTCAGCTGATTGCTGTGCAGCGACAGGCGATCCAGGTTGTACAGGTCGGCGAAGGCGCGATGCTCGATCGTCTCGACGTTGGAGTCGCGCAGTTCCAGGTGGGACAGCCAGCCGTCGAAGCGGGCGAACGCACGCGTCGGGATCGTCCTCAGATTCGAGAGGACGATGCGAATGACGTGGACCGAGCGAGGTAAGACGTCCAGCTCGTCGATCGAGGTGATGCCGCTGCAAGTGTAAACCTGCCGCGACATTTGCGTCCTGTCTCGCACGCAGGTACCCCTGTGAACCGGCGGCCTCTCCGTGGGAATCTCGGGGATCGGTCTTATCACGGTGATGTTTCTCTCACTCAGAGTGTCCTCAAAAGTGGTCCAGTGCACGTGGCCGATGGTTGTTATCTGAAAGATTGAATATATCATTATAGAGATTTTTTTACATTAATTAAGGAATGCTCAACGAGACGTCTAGAAATGTTCAAGCAGCCGTTTCGAATTTAAGTTACTTTCACTACCTTTCATCGGTTAATTAAATTTACCTGACTTACTTTCGGTGAATAGCAAGATTTTTCAGAATTTAAATTTTTCATTCCTATAAAGAAATATATAAAATTTTCGAAATTTCAATAAAATTCAAATTTGATTGTTTTGATCGTCGATTACTGCGATAAATTAAAATAGATTCGTGAGACGATTATACACACAAATTTTTAATCGTTCAACTAATTCTTACTAAATTAATTTATTAGGTTAATCGACAATATCGGAGAATATATTCAGATTTTTTCTCTCTCCGTCATCCGATCGCGTGGACCGCCACTTACTTGCGGATGCTGCCATCCGTCGGGCGGAATGACCTCGCTCTCCTCGTAACAGCGTCCAGCGGTGATGTCGTATCCCACGTTGCGGTCAGTCAGGTATCGCTGCAGATTCCTGCGGCACTCGCAGTACCACGGGTTACCGACGACGTCGAGGCGCTCGAGGTGCCGCAGATGCGTCAGCTCGTCCAACGGCAGGCAACGCAGTCGATTGTAGCGCAGGTCCAGATGGCGCAGGCTGCCGGCGAGCGGGCGCAGCGCGCCGGGCTCGACGCGCTCGATGCCGTTGCGCGCGAGCAGCAATTGGCGGAGGGCGACGAGATCGCCGAACCAATGGGCGGCGACCGCGGGCAGCCGGTTCCCGACGAGCGTGAGCCGTTGCAGCTGATGCAGACCGGCGAACGCGCCCGGCTCGATCGCGCCGATCGAGCAATCGCGCAGATCCAGGCTGCGCAGGCTGTTGCCGAAACGGAAGAACGCGTACGCGGGCAAACGGTCGATCCGCAGACCCGTGATCTGGATCCACGTCGTCCTGTCCGGCAGGCGGTCCAGCGACGTCAGCGCGCTCGTCTGGAAGCGGTTGCCGGGACGTTCCTGCAGCGAAGCGTGAGATAATAGATATCTGGATGCGCGATCGCGATCGCGACGGAGAAGGTGAGCGCGTACCCGCGCGTGCTGATCGCATCTCGGCCTACGTTCTATATACAGTTCGTGTACGTTTCCACTCTCTCGCTTTGTGTCGACAAATCATATTATATCGGCCGCAGCGCAACACCCACCCGCCGACCGGGACTCGGAATTCCGTTTCCGCTCTCTTTCGACGGGATTTCGTGGACGCGATTGTCAACAAGGACAGCCCAACCCAGGGAGCGGGGAGCTAATCACGGTAACCACATCGACGGATAGCGCGGCTAACCTTTGCTTCCTACGCGCGTCTCACACGTATATCCGCCGCGCGTCGATTGCGTAGCCGGTAAGCGCGCGGCGCGATTTTTCGTCAAATCCCACGAGCGAGCCAATCCGGGCAACAGCCCCGGGAGCCACGTGACTCCGGCTCGCGCAAGCTTCGCTCGAGTAACTCGAGTTGCCCGGGCTCGAAACCGGGATCGGAGTTGTCGTCGCTGATCGGGGACCGTGCTCCACGTTTCTACACCTGCGTCCCGACGCGCCTCGGATACACGTCGGCCGAGCAGAAGGACGCCTCGTCGTCGGTCGCTCGAGAATCGCGTGTCGGCCGGTAACCGCCTCCCGGGGGCGCACGGGCGGCGGAACGGAAGGAAGCCCGGCGCCCGCGCGAAACAATTGCGTCGCGCGGATCACGTGATTCGCGCGCGTCCGCCCGCCATATGTCGCGCGCCGCGCGGATTTCGCCGGAGCGGAGCGAGCGGACCTGCGGTGCGGACCGTTGTGCGCGCGTCGTCCGAGTGCGGCGACACTCGGGGAACGTTTTCCCGCTCGCGTGTCGCGCCTCGTGTTTTGCATGTCGCGCGCGGTTTTCGGCGGTCGCGAGGCGAGACCGCGCGTCGCCACCGGAACCCGGAAGGAGCCGCCGTTGAGGGGGATCAACGACGCCCGAGGGGATGCCGGCCAGCACGCGAGGGTTGTCCGCGGCGCTACCGCGAGCGCGACTCCGTCCACCGATAAGGTAAGGCTTGTTTGTTTGTTGAATTATTTTCCCCGGTGAAGGGTGGACAACGGCAATTTTAAGCCATAAATAACGAGAGAGGCAAAAAAGTAAATAAAAATTGCATTAGCAAAGTTCAACACGTGGTCAACGTATTAGTCAGAAATTATATAAAATCATGTTGTTTGTTTAAAGTTTAAAGAGAGTGTAAAATTTTCTATCGTATTTATTGCGCATCAAGCGAAAATTTCTATCTTTGTTTTTATAAAAATTGATATTTATTGAAATTGCCGAGTTCGTAATAATAACGATTAGCGTTTGGAATCTTTTTAAACGGTGATTTGCGGAAAATCGATCAAACTGGTAGCTCCAAGAGAACGGGAAACGGAACGCGTGTAATTAATTCGTGCCGCACGATTATGACGAAGAACATAAATTTGATGGGCACTCGATTTTTCGCGCTACAAATGATTTTTTTCCTAATCATTTCTAATGAAATGCCACCGGTGATTTACACCCACTTACGGCATCTCGCGTGGATCGTGCTCGTGTTGAATTATATATTAATTGCGCGCGCGCCTGGCTTTCCTTCATGTGTATATGATAATGGCAGGAGGATAAAAGCGCCGCGAGAGCAGCACGCGACATTACACGGTCGTTAGACGCGCAATTACATTGTTAATTAGCCGTTATGCGCGAAACGTTAGCATTAAATTTTCGACTTTCACCCGTGATACGCGCTCGCGATAAGGCCGAGCTTTTTGAGACGATAGAAATCACAGCGGTGAGACGTACGCCTACGCACACACTTGCGCGATATTATCGGACACGTAATTATGATCGAGGCGTTTCTGCTTCATCCCGAGATCGCGCTTCGACTCCCTGTGAAACGCGATACTTGGAAAAACAACGCGCCGCCGTATTGCCTTACTGTCGGGTATATCGATGCTCGATGCGCGGGCTGCAGGTTTACTTCGTGAGAATATCGTAGTATATAGACAGACACAGAGTATGTTTAGGAAGCTCATATTAATCTGACAAAGATCTCACATCACCGATATTTAATTCGAATATTTATCTTAATTAGAAATATTTGTCTTTTTATTGCCGTAGGCCGAAAGTTTGCGTAACGGAAAGGATTAAAACAAAACTGTCTTGCGTACTCAAAAACAAAAGCTCTTACGCGTATAAATAAGATAACATTTAACAATAAGTTCTGTTGAATCCGTATCAGAGATTACGTATTGAGGATTGCGAACTGAAGATTAGAATTTTTTTTTTACTAATAATCAGCTACTTTTAATTTTAATCCGTTTTATTCTAAAATTGATTAAATTTTAATCAATTTCCTATACGCAGTCTGATACGGGCTTTACGCTGTTAGATTTGTAAACAGCTGATTTACCTCGAAACGCCGTATCGGCTCGATGGTGATCATCGGGAGCGGGATTTCGATCTGCGTCATGCACTGCGGATTTCGGTGCACGGTGCAGATCCTCGGTCGAAATCTGCACTCTGTCTCCTGGATGATCGATCGCTCGCGAAAGAACCTCTCCATTCTCAGCCGGCACTCGCACAGCCACGGGTTGCCGTCGATGCGCACGGTCCTGAGCGCGGTCAGATGCGACAGCTCGTCCACCGACAGACAATCGAGGTCATTGTCGCGCAAGTCCAGGGTCTCCAGTCGCGGTAGCATGCGAAAAACGTTGGGCTCGACGTGCACCAGGCCGCATCTGGAAGGAGGAACGCGAGTGTGAGCAACTTTGTGTGCTGTGCGTGCCGCAAACGCGTACTCTAACTCCCG